TATGTCTATTGACAGATTCAGCCCCAGAGGACATGAATTGATGGTGCTGACACATCCACTAGCCATGCTTTCCCCAGGATTGGCTTGATTCGTTCTGTAGAGACCCAGAAGTGACTGTTCCTGATGACATTCCCAATCCTTACTGGCACATTGTTTGCAATTCCAAGTAATTTAGTCCTGTGGCCTCCAATTCCCTTGATATCCATGACTTCCTGGACAATAACAAGACCCATCTTGGCAGCCAGTGACTGAGGTAGCAAGTTGATTTCAGAACCATTATCCAGGAGAGCTTCAAATCTTTTGTCATTTATGCTGACATTTATGTACCCCAAGGGGCAGGAATAGTGAGCTGGAAGGTCTTCAGATTCCTCCTGTTCTTCATCCTGCTCTTGACTGAGTCCTCCAGTGTTGACTGATTTGGTCTGGTCTATGGGCACCCTTTTTGAGCTGATTCTCTTCTTCAAGTTGTCCACTACAGCATTTGATAAGGTAAGAAGGGCTCCATAGGAAATTTCCACAGTTCCATTGAGCATTCTGGTCACCACATCCTCTTCTGTGTCTGGGAACTGACTGGCAAGTGGCTTTTCCAAGTAAGTTTTCCTAGCTGGTTTTTCCTTGGAACAGGAGTTGCTGGTGTCTGCTGGTTCCTGGATCTGGACTTTCTTGGGTGGAGGATTTTCTTTGGTTGAGGAGGCTGGTAGAGGAACTGGGTTGTAAGTGTCTTGTCTAGCAATTTCCAAAATCCTGGCTGATTCATCATCCAAGTCCATAAGCTCTTCTTTTTCTTTTCTGACTTTCTTGGAGGTTGAAGGTGCTTCTGTGTAGTCTTTGTTGCTTCTAGTCCTTTTTCCAATATCCAATTCAAAGGCAGAGACATCCTCATCTTCTTCAGGTAAAGAAAGTTGGCCAAAAGATGAATGGACCACAGGTGTGTCTTGCTGTTCTTTCTTCTGAGTTTGTGTTCCTGGTGGTAATTTGACTATTCCTGGCTGACCTGACCTATGGTGAAATTGATCCACTACAGCTTTGAGGGGTCTAGTTCTGTCCCCAGGAACCTGGGTTCCATCTGGTAAGACTACACTATTTCCCTCCTTCTTAACCAATCCCTGGAGTTCATCATGGTTGACCAAATTGCACCTGTGGATAGTGTGGCCTACCATGTGGCAATAGTTACACTTGAAGCTTGAAGGTGGTCTGTCCAATTGAGCTGGTTTGTAGGGCACATGGCTGGAAGAGGTAAATCCAGGTAGCTGCTTCTGAGTATTCCAGGCAGAGAAAGATTTGGTAAGGTTGTCCATAGCTTTATCCTGTTTTGGGGCCTGTTGACTGGTGGGCTGATTTTGTCTGTTTGGTGTAGGTTCAGAGAAGACTGCTCCATCCAGTATAGCCATAGTCCTAAGTTCCCCGTTGATGTAGTCCAGGATTGTTTTGTAGGCTGGGAGTATGTGAGATCCATCCACTGAGAGGGACATCTGGTTATCTCTAATTAATTCCTTGGTGACTGAAATTCTGATTGGATGGATTAAGCAGTTGAGTACAGCATGTCTGATTTCTTCTGCACTAGCCATGTGC